GTTCTTCCAATACCTATAGAATGATAGGTTTCTTTTTGGCGAGTGTAAAACACTTAAATACACCAGTTCGATTATCATGGAACTGACACCTTTTAAGTGACCTGCAGCCCAACTACCACTAAGGACCCAACCCTAATGGCCAGCAGCATAATCTCCGAATCTTGGAAGGGTGTCGAACATCATCGTGGAAGAGTAATGTGTATCGTCATCTCAAGGAGATGCAGAGACCCCAGAATCACCTTCCTGAAATGTATTGCCCAAAGAAGTCCAAGGAGTGATGTGGTCTGAATGATTTAGGAACATCTGGCATAGCCAGTACTTCTGGACCAACACCATTGTCAGCTCTGTAATAATCATCCCAAGAAGTCCTTTCATTGGCCCTCTCAAAATATCCCAGAAAAAGTGACTGTAAAGGCATTATATATATATATATATGTTAAAAGAGGAGCAGAGCCTGAGACTAATACGATCGCCACCAGGGTGAGAAACAGTGACTTTGGGAAGATATAGTGCACCTCAAGAAGGAAAAATGAAGGGGCAAAGAGGTCCTCCGTTGTATGTATGTAGATGTGGCTCAGTGCTAAGTCTAAGGGTATATAATGTTAAAAACCGGGTTTCGTTGCCCATGGTGGGCACAGCTCAGACAACCCACTGAGTAGCTTTGTGCTTAACAACAAACAAATAAATACTTTGATTCCTTTTATTTATCTAGTTTGATTTGGTTTTAGTGGAATGACTATCTTCCCAATTTTTGTGTAACTGGTTTTACTTTTGTTTTATAACTTTCGTACACAGTTGTAGCTTATAGTTGTATCTGCGTTTTGTTCATTTTCAGTTTATTTTTACTTTCTTTCCTTTTGAATTTTTAATTTAATTAATTGTAGCCAAAGTTTGGTTTAATTCTACATTTAAGTTGCAATGTTTAAAACTTTGTTTTTAATTTTATATCCAATGTGTTAACTGGCTGGTTACTGTAATGTTATTTCATAACCATTTTTCAGTTTTTCATTTTAATTTGAGTTTTTTATTGTACTTCGGCTGAAATTTGTATTTGAAAATTGTTGGGGTTCATACGTTTCCCTTTGTCATCTTTGTGTAGGTTAACAAGAAGTTTTACGTGTCACTTGTGGGAAACGATTACATCTTACAATCTGTAGTTAACTTTCTGATTTGACCAGTAATGTTTAATTTCAATATTCGAGTCGGGAAGACTCTAAGATAAGTATTAAAGAAACTGTCGTAGCTAAAATAGCTACTAATTTCATCCTTTCATAATTAATATAGAATATTTTATTACGATATATTTAGATAGTCTTTCTAAATTTCCATGCAGTTTCTGCATGTAGTTAATCACGCCCTCATTGCCCGGATATTGAAAGCTTGTAAACAACGTGTTGATTTTTTCACACGGGTGAAGACCACATACTGCAATTTAAGTCTCAAGCTAACATTTATACAGTTAAGTAAGGACCTTCTACAAAAAAAAATAGTATATTCATAAAGGTGGTTTGGATTATGTATGTATATATATATATATAATTGAAGTATGTAACCTAATGATTTATGAGATACCGCACTAAAGCCTTAGCCTGACTATTAAAGTGGGAAATTCACACAAATTATGGTCTCTTCGTTCCTTTAGTTTTGATCTTGGCAGCCAATAAGAGTCACAATTAAAGCCGGCTAATTTGTCAATATTATTGTGAACAAAGCTTTGTGTTCACTTGCATTTACGTGTTTTTCTTTTGCTGTCCGTGTTCGATTTATTTAATATAACATTTCTTGAATCTGCGTTTTTACGGAAACTTTTGGCTTCCTTCTGGAGATCACAACTGTAAATACCACAATAAGAGGAGACTTAATTTTCTAAAACTTTACATTTACATTATTATTTATAAACTACGTAGAATGTCGAGCGAAAAAAACGCAATTAATTGTGCATATCAGTTTTAACAGTTCCCCAGGATCTCGGCGGGATAGCTGAGGACTCATACCACTAAAAACCGGGTTTGGATTGAGTAGCTTTGAGCTTAACAACAAACAATTGTAGTACTTACATCAAAAAAAATTAATTTTTTAAACTAAATAATTGTTTACAAACATATCTAGGCAAATCTGGATATATCTTAACACAGGACAAAGAAAAATATTTAAGCATCGAAAGACTATTAGAATGAAACTTACCTTTTCAAATCAACAGCTTTAACCTTCTGAAATCCTTCAAGAGTCGTCAGTTCCGAGGAGATCTATGTAAAAAAAGATCAGCGTGAATAAACACATACCTTAACGTACAATAAGATCAGTGTGAATAAACACATACCTTAATGTACAAGAAGGTCAGTTGAATACACACATACCCTAATGTACAAGATCAGTGTGAATACACACATACCCTAATGTACAAAATGATCAGTGGGAATAAACACATACCCTAAATGTACAAGAAGATCAATGTAAATAAACACATATCTTAATGTACAATATTAGTGTGAATACACTCACACACTCTAATGTACAAAAAAGATCAGTGTAAATAAACACATACCATAATGTACAAGAAGATCAGTGTGAATAAACACATACCATAATGTACAAGAAGATCAGTGTGAATAAACACATACCCTAGTAAGACCCACACAACACGTCAAAGTTAATATACACGTTTCGAAATAGTTATTTCTCCACAATTATATCAGATCTACATCAGGAAGACCTGGTCTGACAGTGTAGGAGGTTTTTACACATCAAAATTATAAAGAGTGAGATAATTTACTCACAAATACAAAGATGAAGTAATTTTCACATTTAGAGTATACGTTTAGAAGCAAAAATGTTTTTGTTGGATCCCTGATTCAGAATAACTAGTAAAATTACACATTAGCCACAATGTCTGAATATTTAGTTACAACAATATTCTTAGCTTTACTGTATTTTGAACTAACTTCTTTCATTATAACCTCAAATTTAATATTAATTCAGGGGTAAGTGCTTTCAGAAACAATCACTTCAGGAGGCCTGGCATGGCCTGGGGGTTAGGGTACTCGACTCGCAAGCTGCTGGTTGCGGGATCGAATTCCATCACCAAATACGCTCTCTCTTTCAGTCATATGGGCGTTATAATTTGACAGTCAATCACACTACTCGACGGTAGGTAGTGTTGACTAGCTGTCTTCCTTCTAGTGTATCACTTCTAAATTAGGAACGCTAGCGCAGATACCCCTCGAGTATTTTTTGCGCGAAATTCAACAAACACATATTTTAGGAATTTGCAATCTGCCCCATAACTTCAATAAACTGAAAAAACAATCACTTTAATATTTCTAAATAGTTCATGGTGCCATGTATGGAGAAACATTAACATTTGATGCAAAGGTCTAAATCTATCTTTTAAAAACATTCACGTACGTTTTGTGCAACACCTAAACGTTTCTTGTAACATTAAACACACTTTTCACTGAAACATCTAAACATATCTTGTTACAACATGAAGGTAAAACTTGGGTAATACCTAAATCTCTCTTGTAACAACATTCACGCTTACGGAGTTCAAAGTACACGTGTTTAAACCCAGAATTAACGTAAAAAAGTACTACGGTACTTTATAAAAGTCGTTGTCAACGTATAACGAAAAAGTTCGGTTTCTTGCTGAACTATGAAAGCATCGTAATAAGGCGACAACCTGCAGAATAAAATTATGCCAGTTAGTTACACACGTCGTTTCGTTTTTCTACCCCCAGCTCTAAATCCTGACATTAAAAAAAATCTCACCGGTGGCTCAGCTACAAGTTCGAGGCCTTACATCGCTAAAATTTTTTTGGTTCGATCCCTGCCATAGGCCAGAACGGACAGCATATCGTACAGCTTTGCGCTTAACAATAGGCCCTAAAATCAATTGCCCAGTTCAAATGTTCATTTTAAATCGTCGTGATGTTGCATTATATATATATATATATATATATATATATGGATAGATAGATAGATATACATGTTCAATTTCTTTACATCTTAGGTCTGACATCACACACTCCCTCCTCCCCCACAGGTTCTCTTAATATGCTATAAAAGCTTTAACATACAAATAGATTAAACACAGAAGTTACGAACGCAATAGGAAATGACAGAGCATTAATTAAGCCAAACAATTCAGAATCAAAAATGTAGCATGATTTCGGAGAACAAGCCATATGTTATTTTATGCTTAGATATAAATTATTACATAAATCAGAAATCAAAACTACTGAGACTGACATCGTTTAAAAGTTTTTCCTTAAATTTGCGGTATTCTTTCGAGTCTTCCTTTGCTAAGTCATTCTTCCAAGCTCGTGGCACTTTGAATTTCACGCTGTACTCCGCCTTGAGGTGGACGATGACGGTGGACGTAGATACAGAGATCCTGGTAATGATTTCGGTAGTTGTGTTTGAACCAGAAGCCTGAGAGGAACCAGATGTCGATGACAAGGGTACATCCGTACTTTCTGTTGACAATTTGTTAACGAATTTTGTTTTATTTAACGAAATTTTAATATTGCACATCAGGAAAAAAAGTTTCTTGTGTAAAAATATACTCAAATTATTCTCTATATTAAGTACTTTTCATTGCGATCTTTCAAACCTCATTGGACTAAAATACACTGAATAATATTATTTTTTTACATATTGATTTATCTACGGTACGAGTTTTAGAAAAAGAAAAACATTTCTTATTAAAAGTCTAATGTTTATTACGTGATATCACTTTGAAACTTTCAACTTTTAAATAACCGGTCAATAAATGTAGATTTTTTTTTATTGGGGACTTTCCTATGGATATACCAGGAAAGTCTGAGAGCGCCCAAGAAAGCGTATAGTGGGCTATTCACTCGTAAGAGTGGGGTTTCAGTTCTCCTCATACATCCATAGGAAATATTTGTGCATTTTGTTCAGATACATTTCTCGTGATTACAACTGAATAGAAGGATGCATATATCCAATTAGAAGTTCTTAACACGTGGTTTGTATCCGATTTGAAAAGATAATTTCTAAATATTTTTTATAATAGAAATGTTTGTTAAACTATTCATTTTTTTTAATTGTAATATCGCACCTTCTGCCTTTACTTCGGCCTTAATTCCAGACTCAGGGGTAGAGAAAAACGGAGTAGTGGGCTCATCTTCTGATTGTTTAGGTTCTAACGTTATATTCGCTTCACTGGTGGTTTCCGTGTTTGATTTTACATCTGCTTCGCTGGTGGATTCTGTGTCTAATTTTACATCTCCTTCATTGGTGGTTTTCATCTTTGACTTTACATCTGCTTCGCTGGTGGATTCTGTGTCTAATTTTACATTTCCTTCACTGGTGGTTTTCATCTTTGACTTTACATCTGCTTCGCTGGTGGATTCTGTGTCTAATTTTACATTTACTTCACTGGTGGTTTTCATCTTTGACTTTACATCTGCTTCGCTGGTGGATTCTGTGTCTAATTTTACATCTCCTTTACTGGTGGTTTCCATGTTTGACTTTACATCTGCTTCGCTGGTGGATTCTGTGTCTAATTTTACATTTCCTTCACTGGTGGTTTTCATCTTTGGCTTTACATCTGCTTCGCTGGCGGATTCCATGTTTTGTTTTACAGTTATTTCACTGGTGGGTTCAGGTTCCCGTTTTACATCAGATTCACTGGTGGGTTCAGGACCTGATTCTGCATCAGACACACTGCTAGTTTCAGATCCCGATTTTACAACTGGTTCTACGATTGTTTCTAGTTCCCATTTGACATTAACTTCACTGGTGTGTTCAGGTTCGGATTTCACACCTGATTCACTAGTTGGTCCAGGTTCCGATTTTGCATCAGGTTCACTAGTGGTTATTGATTCGGATTTTAAATCTGATTCACTAGTTGGTCCAGGTTTCGATTTTAGATCTCCTTCACTGATAGGTTGTGATTTTACATCAGGTTCACTGGTCGGTTCAGGTTCCGATTTTACATCAGGTTCACTAGTGGGTTCAGGTTCCGATTTTACATCAGGTTCACTAGTGGGTTCAGGTTCCGATTTTACATCAGGTTCACTGGTCGGTTCAGGTTCCGATTTTACATCAGGTTCACTGGTCGGTTCAGGTTCCGATTTAGTATCTGCTTCGTTCACAGAGTCTAGTTTAGCTTTTGCAGCTTCTGTAACGAAAAAGAAAACTTTCTAAAGTATTATTACTTTAATCTATAAACAAATAACATGAAACTATGTTTCATTTTTCTGCCATTGGTGATAATATAGCATATGCATATATTAGACCGCATCAATTGGTTTTCCTATCACATGTAATGACATAACTATTAGCTAGAGCGATCCAGTCAACAGCTCCCACCCACCCACGATAAAGGCTTGTCTTTCGCTCTTACAATGCGCCTACAGTTTAAAAGTGTTTGTTTGTTTGTTTGAAGTTAAGCACAAAGCTACACAATGGGCTATCTGTGCTCTGCCCACCACGGGTATCGAAACCAGGTTTCTAGCGTTGCAAGTCCGCAGACATACCGCTGTGTCACTAGGGGGCATTTAAAAGTGAAGGGAATGTTTTGTGGCATCGCAGAAATTCGAACTCGGCACATCAACTACAGCTCCGATCACAGAGCCAACCTGCGCCCGATTGAATAGAAGAAGAATGAAGTTTAACTACACTAATCTGACAAGACCAGGAAATCTGGAACTAAAAATGAAAGTACAATACCTCGTGCCACATTTCTGACAGTAAGATGATTCATCAAAAAATAAAATGCTTTAATATAAAATAGCGTAAAGGCAAAGATGCCTAAACATTGTACAGTTGTAATTAATGCTACTGAGTCAACGTGCACCACTTTCCCCCCTACACAAATACCAGCCGTTGCTAGTATTTCTAAGAACTTAAGAGTAATTGTTTGTCTTAATAATGATAAGAGAACACAATACGTGTACAGGAATTAGTGAAAAAACCAACCATAGTAAACGAAACAAATTGTCAGAAGACTGATATCAGATAACGTGAGACTGAAGAGGGCGCACGAATATGTCGAAACTAGTTTCTCTGATATCAGACTTCTGACAGTTTGTTCCGTTTACTGTGTTTTTTTTTCACTAATTTTTTATTTGTTAAGCGCAAATCTATACAAAGGACTATCTGTGCTTTTCCCACCACAGGTTTCAAAGTTAGCGCAAAGAATCGCGCACTTCGTTTTTCCTTAAACTCGATAACTTGTATCATGTTTTATCGCCGTTGTGTTAATAACACAGGTCTGCGAATTTAAACTTCATAAAAGTTGTTTTGGTTTTAATAACAGATTTTCCATAATTCTGCTACGCAGATTTCAAAAAGTTTATAAGGAGGTTTTTAAAATCGGGATGAAAAAAAAAACTCTTACTTAGATGAAATTAAGCCCCCCAGTGGTACAGCGGTATGTATGCGGACTTACAAAGCTAGAATCCGGGTTTCGATACCCGTGGTGTGGAAGAGCCCAGATGGCCCATTGTGTAGCTTTGTGCTTAATTACAAACAACCAAACAAGATCAAATTATCATTTCGTTTACCACAATACACATTTGTTATTATTAAGTTTGTTAACAAAAATACAAACAAACTGAAGAAAAGGGAATAATACTGATGTCAAACGAATATGCATCCTCATTCATCCAGATTCTTTTGTGTGAAAAATACGTCTTTTAGTCTCAAACTACGTGTTGTAGTCTTTCTTTTACGTATTGCGTTATTAAATTTTGTTAAAAATCTCTGAGTGATGGAGAAAAAGGGATATCATTTTCGGATTCAGCGTAAAGGATATGCTGTAAAACATGTAAAAATTAAGACAATAAAACCATCACACGCCTGTGTTATTTTTGTTTCTTGACGTTTTATTATCATTATTAATTTTTTCTTGGACTTTCTGGATTACTAACTTTTTATATAAAAACCGAAATATTTTCTCATAATTTCTAAAAACGACTCACCCCGTTCCCGATTATGACCAACATAAAACTTTTGACTAGACACCACAGGTATTTGCTCATGGAACCCAATCTTGCGGTTACTGCCGTCAAATTTTCCACCTTTTACGGGAAAGAAAAAATATAAACCGTCCGTTGCAGTGAACTCGATATCTTGGGTGTGATCTCCTGTTTTTCGTTTTCGACTAAAACGTAGCGTTACCTTTCCATCATTAACCTCACCGGATATGTTATGGATATCCTGGCTGTCGTCATACTGTGGGTGTTCGTAACCAGTTAACCAGCTGAAACATAAAGTCAATTTCAAAGCTTTTACGTGTGAAATATATATATATATGTTATATCATAGTGTAACACAGATCTTAAAACAAAACAAGAAAACAGTGTTTAATCGTACATAATAAATGCTTAAAAATGAGACTGACCTCAGTCACAACACAATACAACATTCATTCAATAATTTACTGTATAAAGATAGACCATTTTGGGCCTGAACGCAGTATCATAAACTATATGCTTCGATAACTTACTTCATCACCGCCAGGACGTTAGTTTTTCTTTGACAGACATTTTGTTTTTAAATTTACACAAGTATCGACTTAATATATCATAGTTTATTGAAAACAAGAAATCAACGAGTTTCCCATCGAAAACTTTCATAGTTTAGGTATTTTAAATAACTTCTTGGACAATAACTATAAATATCAAACGTGTTTTTCAGTTCAATACTTCATCATGTTTTTAGCCTAAACTGATATAAAAGTAAGATATTTTACACCATTTCGTAAGAGATGAGTAAAAAAGATAAAAGGTTCAGTGATGGTGAATACAAGATGACGTAAACAATAATGATGAGGTGAAAACTTGGTAAGCAGGTTCGGAGGTAGTATTACCAGAAGATAGTGTAGTATAGATCAGCGTTTCCCAAAGTGTGGGGCGTCCCTCCCCCCACCAATTAAACAATTAAACGTTTTATATATATTTTTATTAATGAAAATAATAAGTAATTATTACAACACATGTAGCATTTTAATGTGTATTCGTATGTTACATCTCGTCATTAACTCACTCTTTCACTCATATATAAAATATTAAAAAATAGGAAGGTGAACAAGAAACCATATTTATTAAAGGGGTGTGGAGGTCCACATTTTGGGAAACGCTGGTGTAGATACAGACCACTGAAGTTTCTTACTAACAAAACTTACAAGTATTTTATCTGACTAAAAAATTTACAAGTATTTGATCTTACTAAAAAACTTACAAGTATTTGATCTTACTAAAAAAACTTACAAGTATTTTAATATTTGACTCTTCCAATGATCCTGAAGTCAACATTGATTTTTCCAATAATCATCAGCCCATGTCTAGGCTGTCTTTTATTCATCTCTAGTCTTTTCCGTGATTTTTGTCTATACTAGCCATTGGCTATGATCCAAGCTTTAATCCATAAACTGCCTAAACTGGTTTCTACTCAGCACGAGTTCTTAGTGATAATGATCGTTTTCTACTCATGATTCTTGTCTAAACTAGCCATTGTCTGTCACCTTTGTCTAAACTAGCCATTGTCTGTCACCTTTCTCTAAACTAGCCACTGTCTGTGACCTTTGTCTGAACTAGCCACTGTCTGTGACCTTTGTCTAAACTAGCCATTGTCTGTGACCTTTGCCTACACCACCTTGTATTTTTCACTAATGCTTACTCTTATATATTCGTCACGAGCTCTTACCCAAAATCTTTTTCTATATTGCATTCAACTCGTCACGGGTTCTTACCGAAAGTTTTTGTCCACAGCCTTCTTTTCGTCACGAGCTTTTACCCAAGTCTTTGTATATACTGTCTTCTTATACTTATCACGAGTTTTTACCCAATATTTTTACCTACCTTGCCCTCTACTCGTCACGAATTTTTACTCAAATCTTGGCCTATAATATCTTCTTATATCTCTCACGAATTGTTACCCAAATCTTGGCCTATAATATCTTCTTATATCTCTCACGAATTGTTACCCAAAACCTTTGTCTACACTGTTTTCTACTCTCCACGAATTCTTACCAAAACCTTTGTCTACACTGTTTTCTACTCTCCACGAATTCTTACCCAAAACCTTTGTCTGCCCTGTCTTCTACTCTCCAAGAATTCTTATCCAAAAACCTTTGTCTACACTGTCTTCTACTCTCCAAGAATTCTTATCCAAAACCTTTGTCTACCCTGTCTTCTACTCTCCACGAATTCTTACCCAAAACCTGTGTCTACACTGTCTTCTACTCTCCACGAATTCTTATCCAAAACCTTTGTCTACCCTGTCTTCTACTCTCCACGAATTCTTACCCCAAACCTGTGTCTACAGTGTCTTCTACTCTCCACGAATTCTTACCCAAAACCTTTGTCTACCCTGCCTTCTACTCTCCAAGAATTCTTATCCAAAACCTTTGTCTACCCTGTCATCTACTCTCCACGAATTCTTACCCAAAACCTTTGTCTACCCTGTCTTCTACTCTCCACGAATTCTTACCAAAACCTGTATCTACACTGTCTTCTACTCTCCAAGAATTCTTATCCAAAACCTTTGTCTACCCTGTCTTCTACTCTCCACGAATTCTTACTCAAAACCTTTGTCTACACTATCTTCTACTCGTCACAAGTTCTTAACCTTTCTCGTCGCGGCGAGGTTTGCCAAGCTCCATGATCAACTGAAAATGGCTCCTGACTCTGTTTACCAAAGGTAGTTGTTAATAGTTTTACGACAGCTACTGTCTTGTAAGTTGTTTCTTTATCTTCTACCAACCCTTGCTTATAACTGTTCCTTCACTTACCCCAGGCTCGATCCCAATCATTTGGTACTCATGAATTTCTTTATTCAGTCAGTAATTTTTAAAGTTCTCACAAAAAATAGCTTCTCGTCTTAGAACGTAGGTTTCATGATTTTACAGAGTATTGGTTTTTATGTTAACTATATATAATATCAACACAAGATAGATACTTGCACGTCAATGACGGTGACTTGGCCGATCCCGTTTATCCAACCTATCACAGCATCACTATTGGGCTGTTGAAATCAAATTGAGAAATTAAACGAGGCAGAATAAAATTTATAAAAACAATTTTAATTAATGTCTTTATTTTACAGATTGTGCTGGACGACTTGAACAAACTGTTTCTAAATTTTAAAAAAATCTCGTTGAGTAAGTTCGTATTTTTGAAATAATTTTTTTCAAAATGCACTAAGTAGGGGTTAAAAAACCTATATGGACTAAAAGCATTTACAGATCATAAAACATTTCGAAATATCGAACTTTAATTCCCATTTGTAATATTATAAGAACCTATATTTTCTTAATAGATTAAAACATTATTAACTGTTCCTGTAATTCCTTCAGCTCTTGATTTTAAATAAGGACATAATTATCAAAACGAAAGCAATAAAGGGACTACAAATATACGCTAAACAATACAAAATTAGTTATTTGAATAAGGACATAATTATCAAAAGGAATAGCAATAATGGGACTACAAATATACGCTAAACAATACAAAATTAGTTATTTGAGTGATAAAATCTTTAACTTTTTATTGTATACTTATTAAACAGGCAAACGTACAGTTCCAGTTAATACAACCTTCCCCGTGAAGCTAAAATACCCTTAAAAATCTCTGTTGAATAATTGTTTGTTTGTTTGTTTGTTTTTGGATTTCGCGCAAAGCTACACGAGGGCTATCTGCGCTAGCCGTCCCTAATTTAGCAATGTAAGACTAGAGGGAAGGCAGTTAGTCATCACCACCCACCGCCAACTCTTTTACCAACGCCCCCACGGCTGAAAGGGCGAGCATGTTTGGTGTGACGGGGATTCGAACCCGCGACCCTCAGATTGCGAGTCGAGCACTTTAACCACCTGACCATGCCGGGCCCTGTTGAATAATTGAAACTGTAGAAATGAATACAATATGCCATCATAAACATCTTTCTGTTGTATGTTGAATTTCGCGCAAAACCACACGTGGTCCATCTGCGCTTGCCGTCCCTAATTTAAAAGTGGTAGACTAGAGGAAAGGCAGCTAGTCAACACCACCAACCACTAATTCTTGTGGTACTCTTTACCAACGTAAAACACCAAAACGATAATAAGCAACTTAAACTTTTATATGGTAACATGCCAGGGTCCTTAAAGGAGACATTCGGACATCTGTATGCTGTGGAGGGCAATAAACCTATTAGGAGATGGCCAAACACAACAAACCTTGCAGAGTGGCTACAAAGTTCAAATTAGCGTTGAATAGCAGGATGTGAGCTCGCGACGACCTACCAATATGGTTGACCGGAGATCTGAGCAGAGATAGATAACCGTTACTTGACAATACGGAGTTAAAGCAACTAGCGGGCTTAGGTTTGTGAGCCCAGTTAGCAGATCAGAATAGTAATTGCTCAATAATTCTATACAGAAGCAAATGGTCAGAAACAGGTTTCATAAGGTTGGCCTTTAAGCCAGACGACCATTGGCGTGGTTCCTCTAAACAATCGCCACAAAATAGCTCCCCTCCTTCGGTGGTGTCAAGAACATATGGATTGGTTAAACAACATCTGGACCAATGTCCATTTCACAGAAGAATCACATTTCATACTCCAGCCAGGTACGAGACTACTGTGTATTTTAAAAAGGGCCAGAACCAGAGCCAATTCCCAAATTCAAAGACCTTCCTTGTTTCGACCCGGCATGGCCAGGTGGTTAAGGCAC